AGGGGCAAAAACTGCAGTATTATCCATACCTCATCTGTAAGAAGGTGAATTTTTGCCTCGTACTGTTTGCTGTGGCTCATGCTGACCTGCACCACACAGGATGTGCAGGATTTGGACCCAGACACTGGCAAGAAGAACCTTTTGTCTATGATGGCATTCAGCAATGTGCTTTTCCCTGCCCCGGTGGTGCCAAAGAGACCAACATAGATGGGGTTCACCAAAATGTCTGACTTCAAGCCTGTGAGGCGGTTCCTGAGGAAGGAGATGGAGAAGAAAAAGGAACATTTCAATGACTCAGGAAAGGACATTTAAATGACAATTACAAAAGGGAGGAATAAAATTCTGCATCATACAAATGAGACTTTGAACAGGAACTTGTGTGATCCTGAATATCCTGTGTCCAGTCCAAGGATAGGTTCCCAGTGGCACACTGCACACCACGTCAGCTTCAGCCCCATCACAACATTGTATGAGTTGTCACCTTCTAAAAGGGCATTTCATCCCACTGGAAAATGGTGTTCACTGCTTTTGGAGAAGATTTCCAAGGAGCTCTGCAAAGCCAGGACAACCTGCACCCATGGCCTGGATGTGTACAAGCAGACTCTCCTTGGGTCCAGGGAGGAGAGTACCATTGAATTGGGATGTCTGGGGATGTCCCAGGCTGTAGTTGCCTCCTGGGGTACCAGGAAGTGCTACACTGGTTGCACCCACTGGTTGAGGGACTAAACCTTCCTTGAAATGGCTTCAAAGCCTTCCTGTGTGGCAATTACTCTGAATCCTCCCTTGCCGCAGAAGAACTGGAAAATTATTTTTGGGGAAAAAACATGTGACAACTCACTTGAGGTATTCAATCCCCTTCCTTGTCTCAGGCAGGTTGTGATTGGAGAGGAATACGGACAGCTTCTCCACCGCCTGATCCAGAGTAGCGTTTAGGTCATTTTGCTGTCTTCTATCTGGAGGGAGGACACAGTCAGAGGGTCAGAGCTGCCCCCTTGTAGGGGGGTATCCCCCAAGCCCAGCACCTCCCCAGGACCAGCAGGCACCATGGCCTTTCCATACTTACAGCCCTCCAAAGCCTCTCCCTCTCCATTTTCAGGATTTTCTACTTTGATGCGTATTCTTCTGCTGCAAGTTGCTCCTGGTGAATCAGTGTTGGGACCTTTTCAGATGAAAGGGAATTTTCTCATTAGTGTGTCAGTTCCCTAGTTCTCCCTACAGGCTTTGCCAACCAAACATCATTTGGGGTCTGGGGCAAAGGCTGGAGCAAGGGACGGTCTTTATCCTCCAGTCACCGGGACAAGAACAGCTTGTATCCCAAAAAACAGCTCCCGGAGGGCCCCATTGTGAATGAGATGAGGGGCTCCATGCTGGTGGCTGGGGTGAGACAGTGAATGCCTGGTACCAAGTGCTGGGAACCACCTGCTTTATGCCCCATCGCGATCCGAGACCTATTCTATCTCCTTTCTGGAGTGAATTTAGCTTGTCAGGATCTGCCGAGGGGTCCGCGCGCGGCGCTTGCCTCTCACAGAGGAGCAGTGGCTTCGGCACTGACTTTTCGGGTGAGACACTCAGTGCTCACTAGTGTTGCCAATAACAGCAGCCAATCCCCAGTTAGAATTTATGAACACGCGGTTTATTGTGGGGAAAAATAAAACAGTTTGTGGCAGGAGGTTCAAAAAGGGTAATTAAAACACACAGGAGCTGTGAAGTATCTTTTAAACACCAAATACCAAGAACTTACATATGCCTTAATACTTATATATAGGTACACCTTATTTACACACCCAGGTTAACTATGTATGAGGGGAGGAGGAAGGAGGGATATGCCCGACGCTTGTCCCGTACAAGGTCGTGGTTTGTGTGCAGTTTGTTCCCAAGATGCTCTAGGTACTCATACAGTAGCTGCGGGTGATTTCCCCTGCGACCCGGTCTTAGAACCACGGGGGGCAGGAAGAAGTCTCACCACCCGTGCTCAGCAGCAGGCAGGACAGTAGATAAGCTGGCAGGATGGCAGGCAAGCTGGCAAGAAAAGCCGCAGCGAGACGGGACAAGCTGGGACTGCAGGGATGAGCCGGGTCAAGCACAGATGAGGGGGGACTGCAAAAGCTGGGAGCCGGGCTGCAGGGATGAGCCGCGTCTAGCTGGAGCGAACCGGGGCTAGCAGGAGTGAGCCGGGTCGAGCCCGGAGAAGCCAGGCACCTCAGGCTGGCAGGCACCCCCAAGGCGCAGGTTACCCCCCAAAAGCAAGAGGCAACAGCAGTAGCGGCGGCGGCAGCAGCGGTGTCTGTGCAAAAGCGCGCCCAAATTCAAGGAGCAGCAACTTCAGGTCTCTGGAAAAGCGCCCAAAAGCAGCACACACTGTCTCTCTGTGGGTCTCCTTTGCTTCCAATTGGCCGGTTGTGTATTTCTAGGCTGCTCAGCCAATCAGACGGGACTTGGTCCCACCCTTGCAGAATTGTTGCTGTTTTTCCGGCTGCTCCTCTCCAGCAGCAGCTGCCCCCTCAGGGCGACCGGGTTATTGTTTTCTGGCAGAGGAGGCAGCCAGGAGAGGGTTCAGTGCCACATGGAGCAGCCGTCTTTAAGCCAGTTATGACTGCTGACCTAAAGGGCATTTCATGTTCGTGTGAGGAAA